AGCTTTCAGGTCATATCTTTAAATGATGACGAGTGTGCAGAGCATCGACAGCACAAAGATGTAGTCAGCTGTGTAGCAGGTATTCCCTTGCTTTTCATTCTTTGGGTGGAGGCTGGAAAGATGTTCAACAGTGTCTTGAAATTTATAGTGGGGGCGGCTCTGACGTAATGCTGTCTTGGTATTTTTTGTGCCATTTTCCAGTATATTTGAAGCAAGAAATGTCTTAGTGGAAGTTGCTTTATCAAGTCACTTCCAGTTCCTTTTGCAGATAAAAGGTTATCTCATCACTGTTAGGAAGTAAAATTTTTCAAACAATTTATTTTATTTTAAAAAAAAAATTCTGTAGGGAAAAATTATATGTTTTCAGAGTACCATGAGATTGTCATCAGCATACGCTAGTAGCTACAAAACAAAAATTATATGAACCCCATCAAATCTTCATGGTCTGCAAGGAAAAATGAGGAAAGAAAAACACTCTCAGAAGTTTAGAATGCGTCATGATGTATTCTTAGACAGAGTAGATCCATCCGCACTGTCAAATTCTCCTTTATTCTCTCCTTCAAAACTATCCCAAGAATTAGATGATTGAGTCATAGCTACAGGTGTATTGAGCTCCTTCGAGGCAATAATTCCTTATCAAGCCAACACCTCATCTCTGACCATACCTTATGGTCAGACAAGAAAGACATACAGAAAAGCCAACTATCAAAGATTCTTATCCAAAGTCATTGCAAAAGGAATCAATTCAAGGTTTGAATAGTGCCTATTTCACCAAAAACTTTCCTCTTTCTTTCAAGTAGTTGATGGTTAAATGGTTTCTCCGAATTGCCGGCTTCAAGGAGACCCCTTTGGCGTACTACCTTTAAAATATCCTTCCAAAGGGAATTTGCAGTGTCTCCCTCCTCTGAGTTGCAGGTGACTAAAGCTTTGAAGAATTATGTCACATCAAAAATCTTTGTTGAATTGGCTCCACATTTCTGTATCCTTCTATCACGATCTACTGGTAACCAAATAAAAATAAATTCTTCCATCTGATTAAACATGAAGCTTAAATCCTAAAAGTATTTAAAGAATGTAGATTCCACAACTCTCTTTATTTCAAACAAAGCAATCCTGTAGAAGTGCTTTTGCTGATCTAGTGATTTAGAAAAGATCGAGGAATGAGTATTTAGGGAATGTCACTTAAGAGTAACACTTAGAAAGAATTGACCCGTCAGCAGAACTTCTGCAGATCTAGCAATATCCAGGCACGAGTATTTTACGGGAATGTGACTAGTCAGTGGTTGTTTGGAAAGAACTGACCATTAGCAAATAAGACTTTGCAAAATGAAGATTTTTCATTTACTTTGGTGAAGATAAGATAGGGACTTCATGTCCCTTGTTATTATTATTTTTTTAAAAAAAGAGGGACTTCATGTCCCAAACTAATGAAAACTTTGATTAGAAATAATTGAAGTCCTCCACAGAAGAAAAATTATCAAGTTTTGTGAAACAATGACCTTCTCTTCCTCTAGTAAATGTTGAATATTTAAAATTAATTAAGTTGAATCCTTTTAGGGACTGGTCCAAAAATTTATCTTGTAGGTTTCAATTTATTGTTCTTCCTTGGAATATAAATTGCTTTCTGACTCTTCTGAACATGATCTGATAAAAACAGCTAATGTAATTGCTAGAAATCACGTAGTAAATGGCATGTGGATTTACCTTGAAAAAGAACTTCTGAAACATGTGAACTAATCAATGTGGCGTTGACATTGTTATATAGTATCTCATGTTCAATGCGGATTTTTACTTTTGAGTTATTTGTTATTGATAAACTGGTATTTACAAAGAAAATGCTTGTTAGAAAGTGCTAGTTATTATCCAGCTCTGTTTTATTGAAGAACAACATTCATGCTGCAGTGACAGCTGATGGAACCATCCTTGCTACTGGAAGTTATGACACTACAGTGATGGTATGGGAAGTCCTCCGCATAGAGAAT